TAACGTTACATCACATGCATAACTCAAAATACATAATGCATAACTAGAACACTTGATGAGCTCAAGTCTGTTACGCAATGTGTGTCCCCTGTACTGACAATAACTACAGAGGTCGTGAACGCCTGTATAACAGTAACAATCTCTCTCTATATTTCCTGATAATAAATAACCACCTTTGACAGAGCCATAAAGCGGAGAAAAACGAACAGAACCGAACAACGCCGAAACATAGAAACTGACGACTGCGGCTGCGTCGCTTTCATTTTGTCTACACAACAGCAAAGATTATTGAGCGACTCTTCTTCCTTGCGTTTTAAAGTCGATTGGTATAAGAACAAATGGTCGAGACACATAAAGGTATGACTTTTATTTATTTATATTTGTTATAAACTGGCATTATTAAAGCCCAATGAGCGACAGTAATGAGCGCAAGCTGTAACTGGGCTTGTGCTGATGACTCGTAAACAACTCTATCGATATTTATAAACGTACTTGTGTTTGTGCATGTCAGCGGCTGGATACATTTAGAGGCATCTTGTTAATGTTATTAAAGCATGAAACTGACCTGAGTAATCGGCGCAGGGAAGAGCTGCGTGGTTTATTTGATCAATTTCGTCTCCAGGATTTTAGAGCCACATCACCAAACATCCCGGAAACAGAAACGCAGCGCTGTGATTGGACCGCGCAAGGGAGCGTGTGAAAACTACTAGTGACTCTGTGAGCCGCATGACTTTACACCAAGGGACCGTCCACAAAAATAAAACGTAGAAGCAAAATAAAGTAGGCATGGTCGTTTGCAAGAGATAATAGTAACCAGTTACAACAATTATTTTAGGTTTGGAGTTACATCATGGTTCAAAACAGAATGGGACGACATGATTTAAAGCTTAACATGATTATTAATTATGGAAAACAGTTAGGACGCAGTATTGTTCTTCTGGCACACTACATCACAGTGTTTGTAAGCTTTGTATCTCGCTCGGTGAACTGTTTTGCCGAAGTGATCAAGTGGACATCAGTGTTTGCCAGATACACGGTAGCGGCATTTGATTCTATCCATAGGAGCCTACATTGGTGGACCAGAAGACGCAGTGGGACATCCATAGAGACGCTCTTCAGCAGCGAAACGGAGTCAGACTGATGAAGGACATAAAGTTCTTATGAACTCATAGATGTTCCTGGATCCTTAAACGGGTTTATAGACTCCAAGGAGAACAATATCAATGCATTAGTACATGCAGAATTTTGTAGTGTTTCTGTACTACTCAAGTTGTATGTTGCCATCTTGAGTTTTTGTTCATTTCAAAGGGCTCATGAAAGCACTTAGGTCTAGAGGTTAAGGAAGAGTCCACCACTGTTATAACCACACCTGATAGACTGAAGACTGAACACAACACCTGTTTTACAGGTCTAAACCAGTATTTTACCGGAAGGAAACAATGAAGAAAAGTTGGTTAAGTTCATAGTAGCTGGTTTTGCCTTGCAGTTAATCCTAAAGTGTTGTATTTACCCTAGCAATTTTTACCCTAGCATTCCATATCCACTGAATGTAGTTTAGCAGTCAAGGAGAAGAGCCAAATCACTACCATTAGCACAGATGTATATTTTGCCTGATTTATTTTATTTCATGTCTGTGGTTGGAGCAAATGTACAGCATGTTGGGTAAAAGAATAGCCATAAATAATGATAGTAAAATAAATCCTGAAACAAGAGGGAATTTGTATCATTAGTTGCAGGGGAAACACTAATCGTCATAATTTGTGTGTGGTAACGTGAACCAACTCAGCTCCAACATATGATCTATTTCACATTTCTGGGTTTCTCAGAAGTGAGCAGTGCTATTGTAGCATCGCTGATAAACCATTAGTTTTATTTTACTTTTATATTTTCTGCTTCATTTCAGGTCATGTTTATTAATTTCAAGTAATAATAATGTTTATATATATATATATATATAGTTTTAGTTAATGATAACAACTCTGAGTTTAGTAAACTTCTATAGTGGTGAATGAGAGACTACAGCAAATATGATTTCTGCATTCCCATTTGCTCCAGTAGCAAAAGAACGAATTCACAATAGGGTTTACATGATTTTTTATTTATTGTTGGATTAACAACACTCACAGCTATTTTTATTTATATAGTGCTGATTTACAATGGTAGTAACTATGAAAACACGTCATCACAGACTGTGAAAAGGGTCCATTGAAGTTTTCCTATGGGCAGATTGTGACTGTGTGCCAGTACCCCATAGTCTGAAGCAAGCTTTGAATATTGTCTATATTATTACTTATCCAAAACATCATACTGACTGTTAAAGTGTTGAAATGTCTCTGTAATGGAACTCTCTGGAATCACAAGTAATTTCTTTACGTTTGATGTCTATACTAATCTTAATACCTCCTAATCTGTATCTTAAAACACTGTGTTCTGAGAATGAAGTTCTGTCATGATCAACAAAATGCATTTTTAGAAACTTTCCAGAGAAGATGGAACAGATCTAGCAAGATTCACTTCGTTTAAGCCTATGAGAAAAGAGAAATAGACAGCATTTTGGATCTCTGAATGTTTTAATAGGCTTAATTTCTTGAGAACTCAAACTATATCATCTCAAAGGACGCATTTCGTTCATGTTATAACGACTATATGTTAGCTTTTGAATGATATCAACTATTACTATCTTATATAAATCGTGTAATATGGATGTGATGTGTGTAATTTGACAATCAAATGGTAACAAACTGAAAAAAGTTTTTTTCATGTGAAGAATGTTCTTAACTGCATTATTTGGAATCAGCAAGATTGTGAATATCAATACGTAATTATTGTAAAGGCTTGTATGAAAATGTATGAAAAAAATATATCTGCTGAAGCTTGTTACTTTGGCATAAGAGGACTCAAAATTGTGACATGGCTACTAACATGTATTCATATGAATATTTATCAGCTAACAGTTTGAAAATAAATTTAGAAACAACTTGCATATGAGAAATGCTGATGCAGTTGCATCTGTTCGCAGGCCGTCACATGGGAACGTTTGTCAGCATGTCCCCCAAGCTCACATGCAATTACCAATGGCCATCCCAGCCATGGCCATCCGTAAGCCTCACATACACAGTATATATAAAATATAGCTTTTAATCAATTAGTATTTTATGCTGTTGTTGCATAAAGCTATTTGATGAAGTTTACTACTGTTACTATTTTTGGATGTCAGTTTTCACAACACTTTTTATATGTGCTTTATATTTTGATTACAGCAAATTGTATAACAGTGGTTGTTTTGTTACATCTGACATTGACATCTTTACTGTGTATCATAAATTGTTAAAGTGTAATATTTTCATAATGATCATTTTAATTTTCCATTCGTTTTTTTTACATTTTGAATTTATTTTTATCCATGATTACACATTTAATCATTTATAAGTGACACAAATTTGCCCCCATATTATTGAGGCCTGCATTATAGAAATATCAAAGTGTTTTTTTTTTTTTTTATCTTGGAAATAAAGATAAATCTTTACGAAAATGTATGAAAAAAATATATCTGCTGAAGCTTGTTACTTTGGCATAAGAGGACTCAAAATTGTGACATGGCTACTAACATGTATTCATATGAATATTTATCAGCTAACAGTTTGAAAATAAATTTAGAAACAACTTGCATATGAGAAATGCTGATGCAGTTGCATCTGTTCGCAGGCCGTCACATGGGAACGTTTGTCAGCATGTCCCCCAAGCTCACATGCAATTACCAATGGCCATCCCAGCCATGGCCATCCGTAAGCCTCACATACACAGTGAGCTGGATTAGTCGCAGTTAATATCAATAAGATAAAGTTGGTGAGGCGTGTCTGATCCCAGGCCAGTACAAAAGCCTCTCGAGGGTGCCCACCTCTCTCTTAGGTCCCAGTGTCGTGTGTCTGTGAGAAGCGAAACGCTCGCCTGCACAGCAGACCAGTTGGGCTTCCTGACAGATTAGCTCCAGTCTTGCTCGCCAAAACAAATCAGTTCTCAGTTCAGTGATGGGGAATTCAACGGGCTGCACCGTGGACGACCTGCAGGCTGTTGAAATGCATCTGTGGTATAAGAAGTTCATGACTGAGTCTCCATCTGGTCAGCTCACGCTGCACGAGTTCAAACAGTTCCTCGGGCTCAGAGGTCTGGATCCAGAGGCCAATGCCTACATCGAGCAGATGTTCCGCACTTTTGACATGAACAAGGTGAGTGAAAGACAAGTTCATTCTAAGGGAATAATAACAGTGGCTAAGGATCCCTCTAAATCATTCTGCTTTCAAAGACAGTTTCAGCATAGCTGGAGTATTTGAAGTTTCGGTTTTTATTAAAACACTGGTTATAATATGCAGACTCATTGCATTCTGTTACATCAGACTTGAAACTATGTTTGCTAATTTGATGTCAGACTGATTTATGCTGAATCTCTTTATTATTTCTAAGAAATTATTCTAATTTCTTTCAATAGCAGTCATGCACCAATATATTGGTCGAAAAATTCACCAATATGTGACCATTATGAGCTTATCATCAGCTTTGGTTGATAGCTATATACTGTTTAAAAGTTTGGGGTCAGTATGATTTTTATTTTTTTTCCCAAAGAAATTAATACTTTTTGCCAGCAAAGATGCATTAACTGATCAAAAAGACAGGAAAGATTTTCACAATGTTATAAAAGATTTCTATTTAAAATAAATGCTGCTGGGGGGGGATCACAATTTGTAAAACTGTAAAATATACTAAATATAGAAAACAATTTAAAATTGTAATTCACATTATTTAACTTGTATTTCACAATATTACTGATTATTATATCTTGATCAAATAAATGCAATCTTGGTGAATATTAAGATACTTTAAAAAAATCTTACAGACCCCAAACTTTTGAATAGTAAGCAAAATTTTGAATGGTATATATATATATATATATATATATATATATATATATAAAATATAGCTTTTAATCAATTAGTATTTTATGCTGTTGTTGCATAAAGCTATTTGATGAAGTTTACTACTGTTACTATTTTTGGATGTCAGTTTTCACAACACTTTTTATATGTGCTTTATATTTTGATTACAGCAAATTGTATAACAGTGGTTGTTTTGTTACATCTGACATTGACATCTTTACTGTGTATCATAAATTGTTAAAGTGTAATATTTTCATAATGATCATTTTAATTTTCCATTCGTTTTTTTTACATTTTGAATTTATTTTTATCCATGATTACACATTTAATCATTTATAAGTGACACAAATTTGCCCCCATATTATTGAGGCCTGCATTATAGAAATATCAAAGTGTTTTTTTTTTTTTTTTATCTTGGAAATAAAGATAAATCTTTACTAATGTTAAGCTTTCCAGACTTTTACCCACTACTAATACCAGTAAAAGCATGTCTGATCAATTACTCATCAATACAACTATGCAATCTAGAATATCCATATATCTCTACATTAACACACCTCAGCATTGCCCATGACCTTCTCCCTGACACTGCCCTAGACAGCTGGAATCTGTGTCACAAAAGAGAGGTAACATTTGGAGGAAAGCGTGTTGACCTGAGGATTATGTCTGCGACAAGCGGCTGGTGTCTGTGTCTCAGACGCAGACCTTGGAATTGGCAGTAATCCTCCAGAGGGCACCCTCATCACCCCGATCATGATCCTCAACACCTCCATCACCTAAATAAGAGAACAATGACATCCAGCTGCTTTAGGATTCATTACGGACTAATGTGGGAACACATACTTAATATAAAACATTTTGCAACTTATTGAATATAAAACAGATAGTTCCAGATGTGGATGCTGCTTGGCAGACGGATCTCAAAGGTCACTTCTCTTTCATCAAACTTGGTTCCAGATGTATTTTAATCATTTCCTCATCACATAATCTTTAGATAAAAGTTCTAAGCCATAATAGATCAGACATAAAACAGTACATATGAAGTGTACTACATCAATCACAATGGTCTCAAGTGTTTAAAATGAATTGTTTCTGAAATGCGTTTGTCTCTTTTGCAGGACGGTTATATAGACTTCATGGAGTATGTGGCCGCTCTCAGTCTTGTAATGAGAGGCAAGATGGAGCACAAACTGCGCTGGTATTTCAGACTTTATGATGTTGATGGCAACGGCTGCATAGACAGACACGAGCTCCTCAATATCATAAAGGTAGGAATAACTGCACTAGATGGCTATGAAAAGAAAAGGTAAATTCATAATAAAAATGGTTTCTTTTACATTAGGCCATCCGTGCCATAAATGGAAGTGAGTCGCAGGAATTGAGTGCTGAGGAGTTCACAAACCGAGTGTTTGATAGGATCGACATCAATGGAGATGGTGAGTGCAAAAACAATTGGAATAAGATTCTAATCTTAAGAACCATATTCAATCTTTAAAAGAGTATGATAATGATTTGCCTGTCCATAATCGCTAACCGTTCTCCATTCAACAGGGTAGCTGTCGCTGGAGGAGTTTGTAGCAGGGGCACGTAGTGATGAAGAATTTATGGAGGTGATGATGAAGAGTTCAGATCTTTCGCACATTGTGGCCATGATTCATAACCGGAGACACAGCGTCTAAGAGACAGTCCACATTCAGATATGCCACGCACGGTTCTCCCTTAGAGTCTCTTGATCAGAAAACAAGAGCAACACTCAACTGTCTAATTCTGAAAGCACTTTAAAGCACAGTCACTTCAAACAGAGCTAAAGGGGCCAAGAAACGAAATTGGTGTGGGACGTCCCACAACTGTTTCCCAAAAACAGCCTTCTTGCTAAGCAGAAAGAGGCTTCATAAACGCTCGCCTGCACAGCAGACCAGTTGGGCTTCCTGACAGATTAGCTCCAGTCTTGCTCGCCAAAACAAATCAGTTCTCAGTTCAGTGATGGGGAATTCAACGGGCTGCACCGTGGACGACCTGCAGGCTGTTGAAATGCATCTGTGGTATAAGAAGTTCATGACTGAGTGTCCATCTGGTCAGCTCACGCTGCACGAGTTCAAACAGTTCTTCGGGCTCAGAGGTCTGGATCCAGAGGCCAATGCCTACATCGAGCAGATGTTCCGCACTTTTGACATGAACAAGGTGAGTGAAAGACAAGTTCATTCTAAGGGAATAATAACAGTGGCTAAGGATCCCTCTAAATCATTCTGCTTTCAAAGACAGTTTCAGCATAGCTGGAGTATTTGAAGTTTCGGTTTTTATTAAAACACTGGTTATAATATGCAGACTCATTGCATTCTGTTACATCAGACTTGAAACTATGTTTGCTAATTTGATGTCAGACTGATTTATGCTGAATCTCTTTATTATTTCTAAGAAATTATTCTAATTTCTTTCAATAGCAGTCATGCACCAATATATTGGTCGAAAAATTCACCAATATGTGACCATTATGAGCTTATCATCAGCTTTGGTTGATAGCTATATACTGTTTAAAAGTTTGGGGTCAGTATGATTTTTATTTTTTTTCCCAAAGAAATTAATACTTTTTGCCAGCAAAGATGCATTAACTGATCAAAAAGACAGGAAAGATTTTCACAATGTTATAAAAGATTTCTATTTAAAATAAATGCTGCTGGGGGGGGATCACAATTTGTAAAACTGTAAAATATACTAAATATAGAAAACAATTTAAAATTGTAATTCACATTATTTAACTTGTATTTCACAATATTACTGATTATTATATCTTGATCAAATAAATGCAATCTTGGTGAATATTAAGATACTTTAAAAAAATCTTACAGACCCCAAACTTTTGAATAGTAAGCAAAATTTTGAATGGTGAGCAAAGCTCAGATCATACTTACCGTGTTGTCTGGCTCTATATTTAAAGCGCTATATTTGGCATGTCAGCTTTTATAAACAGTGACTCGTGTTAATACAATGAATAATGAGCTTATCTATGAGATTAAGATTTACAGATTGTTGAACAGGTTTGAGATTGTATTATAGAAACCAATCCCATTCACGTGCAGTAACAACCGTTTTATTTCTCCAAGCCAAAACATGCTTTCATAATTGGGTCCCAGTGGGATTTTCGGCACAAAAACGGTTTCATGATGCTACTCTTATCTTGATACAAGATTCCCAGCATGTATTTCAGATATGTTCAGCTTAATTCTCCGATTTAATGAGTATGTCATTACCTCTGTGTTAAAGTCAACACGCTTCATCAAGCTAAATCTCTTCACTTTTCAAGGAAATCAATAATAGGAAAATAGATCAAAATAAATAAATAAATACAACAAATTAAACAGAAAATTATAACCCAATTGGTAAATAATGGTGTAAAAATAAGCTTTAAATTTTATGTTGGCTTTTTTTTTTTTTTTGCATATGTGTGTGTGTGTGTGTGTGCGTGTG